CATCAGTGAATTACAGCAGGGTAGCAAAAACTACCCTGACAGCAGTGGATTCTAGTTTGCAAAAGATTATACGATAATACAGGTGATAGACTTTAAGGTGTTACAGGACTCTTGGTCATTTCTGCTTCCCTGGTTATGTTGCATACCTCCCAATCCACCTTGTGGGCCACCTCCTACTGTCAAAGCATAGGCTCTGGGGAGGACTGGTCTAGTCAGAGGTGCTCAATTAATTTTTTTCCAAGGAGACAAGAATGTATAGATGACATGAGAAAGGTAGTGGATTCTTTCTCTCAAACACCATCCAGATTCCACAGAAGGGCAAAGCACAGCTAACATTGACATAATATACTGTGGTTAGGTAATGGTCTATGATTAGGTTTACTTCCTTAGCATGGTTTGTGGTGTCCTTTGTACTCCTGGATCTCAATTTTACACTGTGACACAAACCGGACTTTAAGTTCATTAAGTCCATTCAAACTGGTATTAGTTAGACACAAGCCGGGGGCTGTAAGGGGATCACAGGGGAGGAGGAATAACTTGGAAATTTCTCTGTACTCACCAAAGCCTCTTCTCCCTGATAAGGATTTAATTTTAGAAGTCTTATGCAGTCTGATTTCTCCTCCCCCTGCTCCCCCCACCACTTTAACTGACACTCAATTGCTCCCACTATTGTATCCCTACTGAAGAATTTTCAGTCCTTACCAAGCCAGGTTTTTAAGGTGTTGATGTTTTTCTTTTGGTTAAATTACAGTATCATGTTTTCCTGCATATCTGGGAGTCCCTTGAGTAGGCAGAGACCCCTGTTTTGTCTATGGATGGCCCTGTGGTTGTGCTTCCATCTTCCAAACAATAGAAAGCTAATGTATTATTAGTTATCATCATAAATAAATTGTGTGGATATAGAAGTTGCTGAAAGGCAGCTTTTAAAAGAAATGCAGACTGGGAACTTCATAAAATGGGGGGACGGACGGACAGCAGAACACCATCAAATTATTGTTTTATTTCGGCAGCTATAATCGCCCCATAAGTACATATAAATTTGGGCTCCAAACCCTTAAGTGATTGTTAAGACAGTAGTTCTGCTAAGCATTAAAAAAAAAACACCTGTCAAAGATTCTTTGCACAGTTATTTTCAAATATTAATTCTCTGATGCCCTCTGGCACAGGAGGTGCTGTGTGCTCACAATGTTTACTGGCATGGAAAGCTTCCCTGCAGCTGGCTTTGTGTGCCTTCTAACATTCTAGGTAAAGGAAACACAGGGAAGTGATTTTCAATGGAACCAGTGGCATTTAATTAAGTCCAACTAGCGTTATTATTTATTTATTTATTTATTTTATACCCCCGCCCTCCCCGCCGAAGCAGGTTCAGGGCGGCTTACAAGAACAACATAAAAACAGTAATAACATAAATAAAATAATCTAAAAACAATTCAAAACATAAAGTGCTAGTGAGTTATAACTGTACATTAAGGATGGCGGCAAGGGTTACTTTGTTCATCAGTTCTTGATCTTTATCACATATATACAACTGGCATAAATTGTAATGGTGGAGTCGGGTGCCCCTTTAGTAATGATGTTGGTGATAGTGATGGTGGCGGCTCCTTAACTGAAGGCCTGGTGGAAGAGCTCTGTCTTGCAGGCCCTGTGGAACTGTAAAAGATCCCGCAGGGCCCTGATCTCTTCTGGGAGCTCATTCCACCAATACGGAGCTGCCACTGAGAATGCCCTGGCCCTGGTTGTTGCCAGTCTGACGTCTTTGGGGCCTGGGAGGGTCAAAAGGTTTTGTGACCCTAAACACAGTGCTTGCTGGGGTACATATGGGGAAAGGTGGTCCCTCAGGTATGTTGGCCCCTGACCATATAGGGCTTTAAAGGTAAGAACCAGCACCTTGAAGCAAACTTGGAATGCTATCGGCAGTCAGTGTAATGCCTTTAGCACAGGCTGGATGTGCTCCCGCATAGGGAGGCCCATCAGAAGCCTGGCCGCTGCATTTTGCACTAGCTACAGCTTCCGGATTTGTGACAAGGGCAGCGCCATGTAGAGAGAGTTACGGTAGTCCAAACTTGAGGTGACCATTGCATGGATCATTGTTGCCAAGTTGTTGTAGTCGAGGAAGGGCACCAACTGCCTAAGCAGCCGGAGATGGTAAACGGCTGACTTGGTGGTGGCTGCTACTTGGGCCTCCATTGTTAAGGAGGGGTCCAAGAGCACTCCCAGACTCCTAACCTCCGGTGCTGGCACCAACAGCACCCTATCGAAGGTCGGGAGTGGGATCCCTACCCTCGGACCATCCCGGCTCAGGCACAGGACCTCCGTCTTCATCAGAGTCAGTTTCAGCTGGCTCAGTCTAAGCCATCCCGCCACATTCTGCAATGGCCGGTCCAGATCTTCCGGGGTTGAGCCAGACCGCCCGCTCAACAACAGATAGAGCTGGGTGTCATCCACATATTGATGACACCCAAGCCCATGCCTCTGGGCAATCTGGGCAACGGGGCGCATATAGATGTTGAATAGCATCGGGGAGAGCACTGCCCCTTGAGGCACTCCACAGTTCAATGTGAGCCTTAGGGACATCTGCTCCCCTAGTGCTACCCTCTGTCCCCGACCTTGGAGAAAGGAGGCAAGCCATTGTAAGGCAGACCCCTGAACTCCCATGTTGGCAAGGCAGTGGATCAGTAACTGATGGTCGACCATGCTGAACGCTGCCGACAGGTCCAACAGCAACAGCACTGCCAAGCCACCCTAATCCAGATGCCTCCAGATGTTGTCCATCAGGGCAACCAGTGCTGTCTCCATCCCATGGCCCGGGCGAAAGCCAGACTGGAAGGGATCTAAAATGGAAGCATCATCCAAAAAGCCCTGAAGCTGCATTGCTACAGCCCTCTCTATTATTTTACCCAGATAGGGTAAGTTGGAGACCAGCCGGTAATTTGCCAAATCTGCTGGGTCCATAGATGGTTTTTTCAAGAATGGGCGGACCACTGCCTCTTTGAGTGCCCTAGGGAACAGTCCCTCAACAAGGAAGTTATTGGTGATCTCACTTAGGGCACCTCGAAACCCATCGCAACCAGCTTTAATTAGCCACGACGGGCACGGATCAAGACAGCATGTGGTTCGGCATACAGTCAGGAGCAGTTTGTCAACTTCCTCTAGGCTGAGTGGGCTGAAACGATACATAATCTGACTCAAAGACGTGCATGGATCAGCAACAATGTGAGACATACAAATAAATAAAATAAATCTACAAGGTGTAAGAGATGCAATTTCCAAGTTTGTCAAGCAAAAGCAAAAACAAAAAAACAAAAAACCCCACCAACCAAAAGGAATTATAGCAGGCTCACCAGAGTATTACCTTTAGTAAATAAAGAGAACTCTAGTCCTGGGAAGAGTGGAAAATGAATCAGGCATCTTCCGAACTTTTGCATAATTGATAAATCCTCTGAGAAACAGGAGAAAGCCTAAGGAGAAAGCACACAATTATGTTTACATATTTTTTTCTTCTAAGGCCCAAAGCCCATCTTGCAGTTTACATATTAACAAATTACTTTAAACAACACAAAAATGTACAAATAGCTGCACATGATTTACAAAAGCCAGCATGGTGTGTTGTTAGAGCACTAAACGAGAATGTGAGAGACCCAGGTTCCAATTCCCAGTTAGCCACGGAAGCTTGCTGGGTAACATTGGGCCAGTCACACACTCTCAGCCTACCATATCTCACAGGGTTGTTGTGATGATAAAATACCAAAGGCAGAATGATGAACGCTGCTTTGGGTCCCCATTGGAGAGAAAAGTGGGGCATAGAAATGTACATAATATAAATAAATTTCAACTCTTTACAAATAAAATCCGTCTTTCCATAGATGTCTATAATAAAGCTTCCTAAGCTGGAGCCTCTATAGATTTCCATTTTTGCACAATGCACACAACTTTGCAATTCCTAATAAAGAGGCAAGCTTCATACCCATTTGAAAACTTGTTACGGTTCCTGAATATTCCTACAATCAGTTTCATTAGGTGGTTCTATGTTTAAGCAACTGTAAGAGTGAGAAAGTTCTCTATCCATTTTATCTACACCATGCTTTCATGATGTTCCTCTTTAGCTATTTTTTCCCTTCATGTTTGAATCCTTTCCAATCTGGATTTAGACCTGGTTATGAGACTGCAATAGCCTTGGTCACCCTCATGGGTGACCTGCGCTGGGAGCAAGATAGTACGACTCTGTTGATTGTTTTCGACCACTCAGTAGCTTTCAATACCATTGATCATGTTATTCTCCTGAACTGCCTTTCCAGGCTGCCGGTGGCGCAGTTCTGATATGGTTCCTAGGGATGAGCACAAACCGGCTCACAAACTAAATTTGTGACAAATTTTGGACAGTTCATGGTTTATGAAGTGAAGTTTATGGCAGGTCAACTGGCACAAACTTTTCACAAACTTTCAAGCTGTTTGTGGCAGTTCATGAATGGATACATTTCCACACAGACTGTCTCCACTCAATATAAATGTTTACCAAACTTCAAAGCAATAGGGGGAAGAACTTGGAAAGCATGTAGAGGAGCATCCAGGGGAGATCTCCTGCATGTTTGGTGTTTCTAGCTTGCACAGGATCAGTTCTACGCACTCCTGAATCTGCGCCTGTCATTTCCCCAGAAGCACTTTCCTGGGGGCAGATTCTTTGGGGGGCTGTAACTCAGTCCTCATAAATCCAATCCTCACCAAAATTGGGAGGGCAGGTAGAGGAGAGTGAGACAGAGATCACTTGAGAGTTTGGTGTCTCTAGCTTGTACAGGATACGGTCTACCACACCATGAACGTCACAAAACGAACCACAGCTAAAAGTTCATGACAGTTTGTGAACTGGGTGTGCCACAAACTGAACTGCACTTTCCCAATTCATGCCCATCCCTAGTGGTTCCAGTCCTACCTGGAGGGAAGGTTTCAGAAGGTGGTGCTGGGAGGACTGCTGCTCAGGCCTTTGGCCTGGGGGGTCCTGCAAGGTTCCATCTTTTCCACTATGCACTTTAACATCTACATGAAAGGGTGAGGTCAACCAGAGATTTCAGCTGGGTTGTAACCAATATGCAGATCATATTCAGTTCTATCTTGTGATTCCAGCTGATCCCAGGAAGGCTGTAGAAACCCTGAACCAGTGCCTGGAGACAGTTTTGGAGTGGATGCAGGCGAATTAATTGAAGCTTATATGCTGACAGGACAGAAGTGCTACTGGTGAGTGGAAGGTCTGACCTGGGATTTCAGGTGTCACCCATTCTGAATGGGGATGCACTCCCCTTGAAAGACCAGGTCCATAAAGGTGTTCTTGGACCCAGACCTGCTGCTGGATAAGCAGGTGGCAGCTTGGCCAAGAGTATATGTTACCAGCTTCAACTCATTAACCAGCTGCAGCCTTTCCTGGGCAAAAAAGATCTGGTGACATCTAGGTTAGATTACATGGGGCTGTCCTCGAAAACTATTCGGAAACTTCAATTGGTACAGAACACTGCAGCCAGGATGTTGACTGAAGCAGGCTGTAGGGGCCATACCACTCCAGTCTTGGTCTATCTATACTTCCAATTTGTTTCTGGACACTATTCAAGGTGCTGGTATTGACCTTCAAAGCCCTATATGGTTTGGGACCAACATACCTGAAGGACCATCTAATCCCTTAGCTTTTCTTCACAGCGGTGCTCCAACCACTTGATCATTTTAGTTGTCCTCTTCTGATTTTCTTTTTCATTTTTATTTACTTAAAAATTATTATTAGCTGTCATTCTCCCATTTCATTTACAGCATTTACACTGAGGAGCCAAACTAGATGAGATATTTTGTCTGGGTTTCCCTCCCTTGTTTTACTGCTTTGTGGCAGCTGGGAAGGGAAAGATCACCAAACTGGATTGGGGCTGTAGCACTGGTGAGAAGGGGTTAACACAGAAGAGAAGAAGAGATTGGATTTATACCCCTCCCTTCACTACTCAAAGGAGTCTCAGAGTGGTTTACAATCCCTTCCCCTCCCACAACAGACACCCTGACTGTTGGGGACTGAGAGAGCTCTCTCGAGAACTGCCCTTGAGTGAACAACTCTGAAAGGACTTGTAACTTACCCAAGATCACACCAGCAGCTGCATGTGGAGGAGTGTGGAATCAAACCCAGTTCTCCCAGATTAGAGTCCATGCTCTTAACCACTACACCAAACTGGCTTCCACTCCTGGTGCCATTTTTACTACATCAAATGGTCTACCTGCTGCCCATACAGGATGCCTTTATTTTTTTCTCTGACTGGGAAAACAACACTTATGGAAACCATATAAGGTCAGGAAAATGGTCAGGTAATTCTCCCCCTCCAGCCAGTGTTCCCTCTAAGCTGAGTTAGTGTGAGCTAGCTCAAAAATTTTTAGCCTCCAGCTCCCACGTTTTTGTCTCAGCTCAGGAAGGATGTCTCCAGAGCAAACTAATTTATGCAGTAGCCAAATCTCTCACTCATAACTTTAATACCAGAATTTTTGCTCACAAGACTCCACAGCTTAGAGGGAGCATTCCAGCTCATTCATCAGTTAAAAACATCAGCCCCAAGTTTGCCCTTTTCTTTTAAATTCCATCTGCACAGTGATTAGACATTTTGGAGAACTGCCCAGCATAAGTTTTTCTTTCCTAGGTAACCTCTGTCAACTAAGACTCTATCAGCTTATATATTTTTATTTTCCCAGCCTTTTTGAATTTTTATGCTACTGATAAATGTTTTTATGTTATTATACCATGCTGGGTTGTGGTGGTGGGGTTGGGTCTCATTAGTGAATGCATGTTGTTGTTGCTTTTAATACCACATTAAATGCACTTCTAAATACAAACACACATTATTATAAGATTCTTCAAGAGCAACATCTGAGCATGCAGGACTTAAACATCAATATTTGCATTTGCTTACCCTACATCTCGTTTGCTATTCTCTTCCTTGTCTTTTCATTTTAAAAAGGTAAAGGTTCCCTTGCTCGAAAGCCAGTCGAGTCTGACTCTAGGGTTGCGGTGCTCATCTCCGTTTCAAAGCCGAAGAGCCAGCGCTGTCTGAAGACATTTCCGTGGTCATGTGGCCGGCATGACTAAACACCAAGGCGCACGGAACGCTGTTACCTTCCCACCAAAGTGGTACCTATTTATCTACTTGCAATTTCTTGCTTTCGAACTGCTAGGTTGGCAGGAGCTGGAACTAGAGACAGGAGCTCACTCCATCATGCAGCACACTCGGGTCTCGAACTGCTGAACTACCGCCCTTCCACAGCCTGCAGTTCAGCATCTTAACCACTTGAGCCACCGCATTTTAGAGGTCTTCAAAATCCATTCAGGATTTCAGCATCCTGAATCATCTGGTGTCATCTTCAAAGCTGGCTACCTCACTGCTCACTCCCGACTGCTGCTATTTCATGAAGGAGTAAAGCAGCACCCAACAGAGATCCCTGAAGGACCCCACTGCTTGTTCTCCTCCACTGTGAAAACTATCCATTTAATCCTGTCCTTTAAACAGCTACTGATCCACAGAAGCACTTGTCCTTTTCTCTCATGTTTGCCAAGCTAACTCAGAAAGCTTTGGTAAGAGTTTTTTGTGGAAGTATATAATATATAATATGTAGATCACTCTTCTCTATATGCTTGCCACAATCAAGTAAGACAACACTTTATATTTGCAAGCAAACATGCTAATTCATTTTCAGAAACAGTTTGTAGATGTTTAATAATTCTAATTTCAATAATCTTTTCTACTTTCTTAAAGGACAGAGGAAAAACCTGTAAGTTCATGGATGCTTTTAAAGAATTAATGTTACATTAGCCACCTGCCCCCCAATCCTCTGCCAAGGAAGCAGTTTCACTTCTAAGGTAAGAACCTTCATGTAAATGCCATCTGGACTCGGTGTCTTGTTAAAGTCACAATTAGTTCTAGCATTTTATTTTTGTTACCTCCATTTTGTAAAGCCCCTGCTATTACCTCTCTCAAATAATCTCTCCATGAAAATTGCTGCAAAGAATTGATTATGCTTCTTCTCAGTCTCGCTGTCCTCCTTCAGTACTCTTTTCACAACTTTGTCTAATAGTTCCTCTGTTTCCCAGGCTGGTTTCCTACACTCAATATATTTAAATAGAATTTTGTTTTAATGTCTTTAACCAATCTGGCCCGCAAATTACTTCTTTGCTTTCCTTATCAACTTATATTTAGTCTAGCAATAAGACCCATTGTGTAAATAAATACAACAAGCTCTAGAAAGATGCTCTAGGCGAGTGCCCTGGCCCTGGGCACTCAGCGTCAATTTGCTGTGGTGACCTTAGCAGGGTATAATGACACAGAGCTTACCATTTTCTCCAGGGGAACTGATCTCTGTCATCTGAAGAGCAGTTGTAATTCTGAATGATCTCCAGTCTGACCCTGGAGATTGGCAACTGGTTCCCCAGGAAGAATCAGCTGGTTTGGACGGTGGAGTCTATGGCATTGTACCTGTCTGAGGACCCACCCCCTTCAAACCCCACCTCTCCAGGCTCCACCCCTCAAATCTCCAGGAATTTTCCAACTTGGAGGTGGCAACCCTATCTCCTTCCCAGCCAACCATCAACCTACCTTTATCACCCCTCTGACTTCAGCTTTCCATCTCCCCCCACACCTGGAGCCTCTACCTAGGAAAAGTACAGTCTTTCTCCAGAGTGGGGACCAAAGCAGCTCACACCATTCTCCTCTCGCCCTTTTGATTTGCACAACAACCTTGTGAGGTAGGTTATGCTGAAAGTCTGTGAGTGGCCTGAAATCACCCAATCAGCTTCCACAGGAAGAACCTGGGTCTGAAGCACTAAGTGCTACATCACACTGGCTGTCGTGGAGGGGGGCACCTCAGCAGGGTATAATGACATAGAGTCCACCATTTTCTCCAGGTTAACTGGTCTCTGCCATTTGAAGAGCAGTTGTAATTCTGAGTGATCTCCAGCCCTCACCTGGAGATTGGCAACAATGGTTCCCCAGGAGGAAATGGCTGGTTTGGAGGATGGAGTCTATGCCATTGTACCTGCCTGAGGTCCCACCCCTCCTCAAACCCCACTCTCTCCAGGCTCCACCCCTCAAATCTCCAGGAATCCCCCAACCTAGAGTTGGCAACCCTATCTCCTTCCCATCCAATCATCAACCTACTTTTATCTGCCCTTGTGACTTCAGCTTTCCATCTCCCTCCACCCCACAACCTGGAACCTCTACGTAGGAAAAGTACAGTCTTTCTCCGCAGTAGAGACCCAAGCAGGAGGGAAGCGACCTCAGCAAGGTATAATGACACAGAGTCCACCCTGCAAAGCAGCTGTTTTCTCCAGGGAAATTGAGCTCTGCCATCAAGAGAGGAGTTGTAATTCTGAGTGATCTCCAGCCCTCACCTGGAGAATGGCAGCAATAGTTCCCCAGGAGAAAATAACTGCTTTGGAGGGTGGACTCTATGGCATTCTATTCAGCTGAGGCCTATCCCCTCCCCAGACTCTGGCTTTCATAGACTCCACCAC